CAAATAATGTCCCAACACTGATGACTCAAATATTTTCTCTTTTAGAGTAGGCAATAGCCCTTCTGAATATTGTCTTTCTTCCTCTTTCTTCCCAGCAAAAGCTTGGTAATTTAAAGCTATGATACGGTAATCTGTTCTTTTCCTTAATTATGGGAACAAATATTTGCCTTGAACCCAATTACCAACAAACTTCAATATTAGAACTTCAGTAGCATAAAACTTTTGAAAATATAGTATATAACAGCTTAGGAAAAAAACACATTATCACATTTGAGCCTCACAACAAACCTATGATACAGGTAATTAGGAGGCTCTGAGCGATTATGTAATTCAATGAAGTAAAGCTATTATATGATCAAGTTGGGATAGGTCTTCTGACTCCAAGTCTTAAGACCTATGTATTCTACCATCTATCTCTGCAGAACTGGGGAAAAGGTTTGGCACGGTATCAAACTCTGAACTGCTTTCTCAAAACTAAGCAAAAGATTCTGCATTGACTAAACTCAGTTGCAGCCAAATTAACTGCTGCTCCACAGTCAGTCAACAGTAACAAGCGGACCCTATTGTTGGCACAATAGGCATCAAGTCAACCACACCCCCCTCCCAAAGCTCAAAATTTGCTCTTGAGACTGTCACTGCTTTCCAGTAGTGCTAAGATACCGTTTTTGAACAAAATGGAAATGGGTATTTCTGCCATGGAAGGCTTGTAGGCCACTCACAGCACAGGCTCCCAGAATTCACATCTCCCTCACACGAACAGCAGATTCGTCAACGATTAGCTACCAACTCTAAAATTCTAAGAGTCAGAAAATCTCGTATCTTAAACCAGAAGGGAAATAACTTAATCCTAGAGAGGAGTGAGTTTTAAAAGGTGGAAATGTGAGAAAGGTAGGTTTTCTTAACAAAACACTTCAAGCATCCCAAACGGCAAACCAGATGTCCGCCATGTGCCACCCACCACCAGTCGGCCAACACAACACTGCAGAAATGCAAATGCAGGGGAAGCTCTGAACGCCTCCTCCTAGATCCCTTGCTCCTCTCCCCCTTCCCAGAGGTAACCACTACCTTGAATGTTTGTCTGCTCCACATACAGGAACACACAAACAGTATTTTAACAATGTTTTCCCTATGTTTATTTCTACAAATTTTATACATTCTTTTCAAAACGTAATACCTGCACCAGACAATTAAACAGTACAAAAGGATATACAGTGAAATGTCCCCCTGCTACCTAATGTAGCTGTTTTATGTGTATCTAATATAATGTAACTGACCAACTAATGTAACTGTTTTACATGTATCTTTAAAGGAACACTCCACACATATGCAAGTAGTTACACTTAAATACCTTTTGGCTCCTGTTTTTTTATACACAAATGGTAGGTATACTATACACATTTGTTTGACTAGCAGTATTTCTTCCCCTAAAAATACACCTTAGAAATTGTTCCCAAATTATATAAAGCCTCCTGCTTTTGTTTTTAACGTTTGCAGGATGTATCACTGCACAGCTGACCATAATTCAACTACTATCCTATTAAAAAACTTACTTTCAACCTCTTGTATCTATAAACAATGTATCAATGAATAACTCATTATTTCACACAGGAGTGTATCTATAAGATAAATTCCTAGAAGTTGAATTGGTGGGTTAACTTTAATAAATACTGTACCAATTTACTCGCATCTGAGTGTTTTTGCATGACTTTAAAATTTATATGGGGAGCCTGAGTGGCTCAGTCGGTAGAGCGTCCAACTTAGGCTCAGGTCATGATCTCACAGTTCGTGGGTTCAAGCCCCAAGTCAGGCTCTGTGCTGACAGCTAGGAGCCTGGAGCCTGCTTCGGATTCTGTGTCTCCCTCTCTCTCTGCCCCTCCTCTGCTCGTGCTCTCTCTCTAAAATAAACAAATACCCCC